CTACCCAGACACTTAACGGGAAGTTGGATGAATCGTTGAAGTTAAAGCATAGTAGACTGCTAGGTACACACCCTGAAGCCTGCTTCCTTACCAAAAAGAAAGCCAACTTGTGTATACTATACTCCAAACCACAGCGGGAGGTTCTTCTCTAAACAGTTCCCAGAGAGAGGAACAGAGCTTATTTCATTCATATAACCAAGCATGACACTGTAGTTGCCACAAGGACACTATGTAATTAGGATGGGCAGGTTGGTAGAGGAAGTGGAACCTCTTTATATTGGTTTAAATCAGGAATAACTCAGCAGAAGTCAATGGCATGACTCCAAGCGAGTGTGTAAGAAAGGAGAATTTGGCCCTAGATCTCCGTTTTAAGATGTGGTCCTCCCAAAATGAAGCACCTTTGGATCCCCTGCTCTATCTCCCTTGTGCATAATTAAATTTTAATACTAAGCAATGTCCATTAAATTAAAGGACTCTTGTATATGCAATTATAACATTTTAAAGAGTTTTGTTCAGCAGCTGTTGCAAATAGGTATCAGCCACTCTGGGCAATTAAATTTCATAGCTCAAACATGACAGAAGAAGTATTATCCATTAGCAAAAGCAGTAGGGAATCAGATACTATCTGAACTAGGAAATTACTGTATAAAGTGAAAATGGAAAGTCCATTGCCACTTACTGAATAAAATTATTAGTCTTAAAATGAACGCTAATTAATATTATATATTAAAGGGAAGGGGAGAAGCCTGAGCTGCTGGTAATATACCACCAAACAAATGATGCATTATGTGTGTATTTACATTGGGCTACTGCACAGAAGCCTTAATCAGGATTGGAGCCACATTATGTTAGATGTTGTATCAACATAAAGAAAGATGTCATCCCTAGCCCAATTAGTTTACATAGCAGTGTTAAGTTACAGATATATCAGTTTGAGAATTTCTGAAACACAATATAACACAATCACAATCTAATACAATCCTCCCATGCCCTCACCTATTTTATCTACCTGTTGGGTCATATAAACCTAGACAGTGAGCTTTCTGGACCAGGAACTGTCTTGTTACTTGTTTGTACAATATGCAGTACAAAGGAGCCCTGGGACTAAACTTGGGCCTCATGCCTTACTGTAATACAGCTACTGCTACCAATATAATAAGTTTAAGCTAAGTGGAAATACTGCTTCTCTTCTTTCTAGAAAGTTTTCTCAGCAAAACTGTGAGTTTCATGAAGCTAGACCCTTGCAACCTTTAGCCCAAGCCCCATCTCAGGTTGTTAGAGTAAGTTTGCATCATTGAAAAAAATCTTGAAATCTGGTTGATCAGAACACCCCCGCCACCACATTTTCAACATCTTCAGCTGATAAGAGAGACATCCCTGTCATGGTGTATTCTCCAGACATCCATGCAAGAATATTGTTGTAATTAACAAAAAAGAGAGACTGACAGGGAATTATTAAAGCTTTGATTTCTCCATGAAAAAACACACTAGTAAAATAAAAAAGGCCCACACAGTCATGTACAATTGCAGACAAACTAATAGTGCCATATCATCCCTCAGAACAGTGTGCACACAATAAACAAAAAGTGCTATATGGCTAAATTAGGTCATAGGGGAGGTACTACTGCAAATGGAAAAGCCAACTGAAAAGATTGGGGAAACGAGAAACAGGTTAAGAAGCTCACCAATTGTGGTCAAGCCACATCATGGAGAAATTGGAGGCAGAACAGCACTCAGAGGCTAAGACCAACTGGAGATAGCGGTTGTGTTAACAGGTTGCTCATGAAATGGGGAAAGCAGTAACATAGAATGAACGAGTGGAGAAACATTAGAAGCACATGTTAGCAGAATGCTACAACGAATATATCCTCACACAGACTGCTTTCGAGTACGCTGTCTGCATTGACCAATGATGCAGAAGATATTTATCTTTATCCCTCTAGGTGTTAATAATATGCGATCACAGTAGTTTCTTTACACTAAAATATTTCCTGCGGTACTTGGGATGGAGCATAGGCCAAGTGATGTTATACATCTCTCATCTGCTTTCTTGCTATTGTGCATGGTTCCCTGGCTCCCACAAGTATTGTGTGTAATTTAAAGCTCCTCATGACTGCTTTAGTTTATTCTTCCCTGGGTTACATGTGCATGGCTGGGGTCAATCCATCCCACTGGCAAAGTGGCTCTGTACCATTGCTTCCACTTTTCCTAGTTCAACACCCCCATGCCACGCAGTAGTGTAGCTAGGGGAGGTGCATGGGAAGCAGCTGCTTTCCCTCAGCACATTTTCCAAAAGCGGCTCCTTAGTTAGGGGTTACCATGGTGCCAGCGGGTGGGGCCCACGCTCCGTTCTGAAGCTTGGCCTGCCAGGCCAGCGCTGGGCTCCTGCAGGCAAGGGGGGACAGCACAGCCAGAGGAGCCATGGGGAGGGGGCGGCACGGCCGGAGGAGCCAGTGGGGGGGGGCCACGGGGCGGCACAGCATGGCCGGAGGAGCCAGTGGGGGGGGGGCTGGGGACGGCATGGCATGGCCG